GTGGCCCCAACTGCCTTCAGATCATTAACAAGCTCCTCCTGTCCTGTAATCAATCACCGTTCTTATAATCATCCTTACCCCTTGTATTGAGCTCCAGGCTGAGGTTGATTTCCTCCATTTCCTTATAATCACCAACAATTAATATAACACTTTAGCCCATTCGTCCTTTAATGGTCGTTTCGTTTTGCTCATGGTGATGGAAAGGTCAGAATGGAAAATTTAGATTCTGTGGACAGGTGTGCTTTATACACAAAACTCAGATCAGCTGTATCGTATTTATTGACCATAATCCGTGTGCACATGGGCACACACCCAACCATAGGAGCCAGAATTCTGTTTGACTTCTAGGAGGATCAAATACTTATCTCCCCCACTGCACCTTACCAAATTAGACCAGTGCTGTGTCTCACAATACAGCAAAGTAAATTATATGTTGATCTAATTTATATTTTCACATTATTTATCTCTGAGGTTCTAGCTATAAAATTTTAAAGCTTAGTATATCGTCAAGCTACAGCCTGAGTTGGAATGTACTGTTCATTGCATCAAAAAGTTTTTTTTCCACAACTTGCCTAAAATCTCCTGCAGAGGTCTTGATACTGAACTTTGAAAAGGATTTTGCTCAAGTTACCTTAAAGAAAACAAAGCAAAATAGAATGGACATAGATGTTTCCCACAGGCTATTTGACATCCATTTCATGTCCAATTTTCCTGCCGTCTGCTCACTGAAAGCGTCCAACCTTTTATCTGTGCATTTTGTCATCATGAAGGAACTAAGGGTGAACCTGGTCAGACAATGACAGAGAAAGGGGCCAAAGGAGAAAGAGGTCGGGATGGCGAGCCTGGGCAGCCTGGTTCACCAGGTACACGAGTCACTATTTTGTTGTAAAATAATATACTTTCCATTCACAGTATCTAAAGTAACATACATGCTGCCTGATTGCCTAATTTGGTCATTTCCCTTTGTTAGGTATACCAGGTCAGCCTGGACAGCCTGGTTTTCCCGGTTTATCGGGAGCGAAGGGTGAACCCAGAATCCCAGGCATTGGACTGCCAGGACCTCCAGGACCAAAAGGCAAAGATAGCGATAAACTATTCTCTATCTGTCTTCCTTTGCTCTTTCTACCTCTGCTGTTTTGTCTTCCTTTGTCCACTTCTATTTACATTCTCTTCTCTTTAACAACTTCTTCTGAGTACTTCCCTACATACTCTCTGCTTTTTGTGTCATTGTTACCTTCTTCATCTCACACTCACTTCTTTCCTCCTCCAGGATTCCCGGGCGTTGGTGGGCAGCCAGGTGCCCCTGGAGGACCAGGAAGACCAGGGATAGATGGACGTCCCGGTGAGCTGGGATTTACTGGACAAAAGGTGTGTATATATGTTTTAATATATTTAATGGATAGTTGTGTATACCAATTTTACTAACGTTATTATCTGTAGAAGGCTAAAATAACAAGGATAAAATAATCCTTACAATTTGAAAATGACAGATTTTTTATATTAAGCAATTTTCTCTAAGCAACACATTTTGTTATGCATTAATAGCTTTCATTAAATGCCTCTTGTTCTGTCCTAAACTGTACTCTTCGTCCCTCCCTGTGTGCCTGACGCTCTCTTTGGTTATATATGTGACAGGGTGAACCTGGTCTTGGACTTCCTGGTCCTCCTGGTTTAACGGGTGCACCGGGCCCTAAAGAATCCATTGGGCCTAAGGGAGATCCTGGTTTCCCTGGTAACCCCGGTTTGTCCGGGTTGGCTTGGAGCTGATGGAGCTCCAGGATTCAAAGGTACTCTTTAGATTGTGTGATTGTTTTAGAACAAAATGATACCAGGCCAGAACTTTGAGCTGATACTTTATCCTCTGTCTGTGCAGGCGAGCCTGGTACACCTGGTACACCTGGATCTCGTGGCCCCCCTGGACCCCCCTCTTTTGGTGGAACGGGCCCACCAGGTCTCCCAGGACCTCCGGGCCCAATGGGACCACCAGGTAAGTCACATAAGGTTTGACTGAAAAGAGAAAACTCAGCATTACAGAATATCCATTCTACCCTCAGCAGTTTAAGCTGTTAGACATAATCTGATCTCTAGGCTCTGTCTCTGGGCTCTCCTGCTAGTAGGATATGCAGGAGACACCTCATCCAGGTGGATTTTAGTAGTTATCCCAGGCAGATAACAAGAGCAGGAACATTGCTCAACCCTATTTCTATAATTTGACTACTCCACTTTCAGGCTCAGCTCTGACAACCGGACGTCACATTGGTCTATCTGTCAGTCTTTAGCTTAGAGTTTCCTCCACTCTCGAACGTAACCCAGAATTCTTGAACCCCTTTACTTGGAGCAGTAACTCACTGCCAGCCAGAAGTAGCGAATCTACTGTACAGCTGAGGTTCTACATGGCCTCAGACTTGAAAGAAATAATTCTCATCCTAGCCACTATTACAAATCACTCTGGTGCAGGATGGAGTTCACTGATCGGTGGTGTTTCTGAAGCCATAGAATCAGAAACACTCTGCTCCTTGGCTGTGCCCAGAGGATCCAACATTCTCCAGTCTGGAGAACGTTGGACTGTAAGTCTAACTTACAATATGACCCAAACCCTGATTATTAGAACAAAGGGACCGAATAGCTTGTAACATTGGGCGCCAATACTTTATTCTTCCAAAATGCTTCCCACAGGTTAGGGGTGTGGTCATATACCCAAAAGCACACATAGAGCAAACTCTATGTATATAAACCCTGGAGCTGAACCACTCCTTCCTACTTTGCAAATCCAGAAGCACTGTTTCCAATATTGCAGAAGTGGGAACCAGGACAACCCCTCAAAATCATGACCGCCCAGGGGAGTGGAGAGTAAAAATGTTCAAATTATTGTTAACCTGACAGTTCAAATGTTGTTCCCAAATGAAAAGAGGACAGTCATAATAATCATCTTTACAGGGCTGCCAGGATCAGATGGTCCAAAAGGAGACCCTGGCCCTCCAGGTCTAGACATCCCAGGCCCACCAGGAGACCCAGGAGCTCCAGGTTATCAAGGTCTTCCAGGTACTATTGGAACCCCAGGACCACCTGGAGGACCTGGTCGCGATGGTTTGCCTGGCTTGCCAGGTAAGCTGTCACTCTTCAATCATCGAAATATGGCTGTAAATGAATAACATTAGCTATATTGGTATCTTGAAAAGCAATAAAAAGCATTATATGTCACAAGTTGATAAAGCAAAGGACAAAAAGCTGTCATGATGACTCTATGCAGTCGATCATTTAGAGCATTTACTAACTACAAAAAGACTGGCTGAATGTCTGCATAACTTAGTATAAAGGCAGCTTGTAGGCTAGCTAATTGTTGTTAGCTCACAAAGTTATCAGAAAATCTAAGTCAGACCAGCAATTAGAAACAGTTGACTAAATGATAATAGACATTTTTATGTTATTTGTATGTAATTAAATATTTACTTTTTTGGTTTATTGATTATTCTAACTTTTGCTCCTCTGCAATGCCGGCCTGGCTGCAGGTCAGAAAGGAGACATGGGTCCCAATGGACCTCCAGGACCTTCTGGAGGACCGGGAGCCCGAGGAGGACCTGGTGCTCCTGGATTTAAAGGTACTGACACACTCCATACTTACCACAAAAATCATGCATGATAACACTTATTGTTTTAAATTGACATATGCAGAATGATAATTTTTCTTACAGCAAAAAATCTATTAAAAACCTGGAATCTGGTTGCATAAGCTATGAAAAATAATATAAAGAATATGAAGTAATTTATCATTTTCAAGTAAATTGTGACCTCTGTTGTTGGTATAATTGGATTAAAAGTATGCAGCTACTCATGAAAGGGCCGCCTGATGCATCTACACAGGTGAACCAGGATTTCCAGGTAGAGACGGTGCACCAGGTGGTCCTGGTGCTAAAGGAGAGAGGGGAGACATGGGCCTCCAGGGACCGCCAGGACCCAGTGTTCCATCGCAGCTCTTAAAGGGACAAAAAGGAGATCCTGGACCTTCAGGTAGAGATGAAAACATTTTCACTGCCCTCAAAGAGTAAAAAGTTTGAGTTAAATCTTACATACTGGTTTTCTAAAGGTGGAACAGGTTTTCCGGGTCCAAAAGGTGCTACTGGTCTCCCTGGTGACCCTGGGTTTCCAGGAACAGATGGCAGTCCTGGCCGCCCTGGACCTCCAGGTATGAATTCACCCCTAATGCATACATACTAAGTACATACATAAATACAGACAGAAACAGATTTTTAACATGCTATTTCATTTTTTTTGCAGGTTCTAAAGGAGATTCTGGTCGCCCAGGAGGTCCAGGTATTCCTGGGTCTCCAGGACCTAAAGGCCAAATGGGAGACATGGGAATCCCAGGTGCTTTTTATCAAAACTTTGGTCCTTATTGCTGTAGATGTTAGTAATTAAAGGCCAGTGTTGTGTGTTGAAATATGCCTATACAAATTAATATCCTTCAGGTCTACACCTTGTTTATTAAATGTTGTAACTTGCTATTGAGCAACAGACTTAAACCGGCATTCGTTCTAACTGCCAGCAGGAGGTGACTTGTTTGGCAGATAAGTTTAATTTAATTGAAGTCTTAATAAAATGTGCTCGCTTATCACTTGATTTAATAACTCAGTAAATGTTTCCTACTAAATTTATAATGAAAACTCTTTTTTGATATATTACGATGATCATTTTTATTTGACTTTTCAACTATCATTTCATGTAGAGCACAAAAATGACAAATAATGAAACGGGTTATGTTTTTTTTTACTATAGTGTTTACATAGTATCCTTGTATTATTAGTCCCACTTTCATACACTCTGGCTTTCAAAGCAAGATGGTGGTGCCCAAAGTTCTGAAAACCTATATTGGTTGCCCACAAACCAGTGATGCACTGGTGTGTTGGTTAGTGTTACTAAGGAAGAGAATACCTGATTCTGTATCTTAATGACATTCGTTTTTTAAAACATTTGTTAAACTTTATTTGCTACTTATCCCTTTAATGAACACACAGGACCACCAGGGCTGAAAGGTGTATCAGGAGAGTCGGGTATACCAGGATCCCCAGGACAGCCAGGACCACCTGGTAACCAAGGACCCAAAGGTGAGCCAGGTTCTGCTGGCGTCGGACCACCTGGACTAACCGGACAAAAGGTGCATAATCCAACCACTCAGATTTCCTGGTAAAAAAGGCAAATATTATTATTCTAAATAATATTTTGGTGCACATTAAAAGTTTTTGCTACATCCTTTGTAGGGTGATCCAGGCCTGCCAGGGTACCCAGGAAATCCAGGCCTAAAAGGAAACCCAGGATTACCAGGTCCCACAGGTGTGACGGGAAGACCAGGCGATAAAGGTGACCCCGGACTCCCAGGATTCCAAGGTAAGTCTGATCATAACAGATGTAGAAAAGAAGAATGAAAAGCTGAAATAAGTTGCTGATATTAAACTGCAACTGCATTGCATTAGCAAGAGTATAGAACTTGACTGCATGCTGAAGTGTCAAACCCTAACCCGTAAAATGTTCCAAAAGTATTTGGAAACATGTACTTCTAAAAGTACTTTTATTGCACCATGTTCATTCACTCATGAGCTGCTGTAGCATGAATCAAATGGCTGAATTGCCACCTCAGCATGCAGCCAAGTTCTATAAGAGTCTTGCTAATGACCTACTAATTGTATTCAGGTGTGTTGCAGCAGGAACACATGGAAGAGTTTCAGGACACCGGCCCTCGAGGACTGGAGTTTGAGAACCCGGCAGTATTTTATCTATTAAAGATACAATTATACATTTTTTAAGGCAATAAGAAAAAAAAACAGTATTAAAATACAACACAATTAATGGTTCTGGCTGGTAAATCTGGAGAGGGTGACACGTTTTTGCCTTCACTGGACCAAAACAAATTAAAAAAAAGGAGTCGACTTTGAGAATTCAAGGAATTAGAGAAGGAGTCTGTCACATTACCATTTCAATCATTTAGAAAAATCAAACCTTGGATGAGAGACGTTGGTCAGGCCCATGTATTTTATATCAGAGTGAAAAAGGAATTTTATTGCGATAATTTATTACTAATATTACTTTTTATTTTACCAGGAATTCCCTTTGAGGTGGCAGTATCGTATGTCGATCATGATCAGTTTTTGTGTTAATGGGACTTCTTTTCATTGAAGCAAAGCAAGGGTCGATCTTCTCTTTCTACTCTCCTGTCAGGTCCTCCTGGTATCCCCGGTCCTAAGGGTCTTGACGGTGTGCCGGGTACCCCAGGTAGCTCAGGAGCTCCAGGTAGACCAGGAGAACCTGGTCCACAAGGACCGTCTGGTCCACCAGGAGAGAAAGGTCAGGCAGGTCGCGATGGGATTCCAGGACCAGCTGGAGTCAAAGGAGAAGCAGGCGAGTCACAGGGCATCTACAGGAACTGTAATTTTGCTGTACATTCAAAATTGCTTTCCATTGTTTTACTCAAAAATACATATTTTCATTACTTTTCCCTCCAGGAATTCCAGGTTACGGTGGTCCAGGTCCTGCTGGAAGTCCAGGACTGCCAGGTGAATTACCACCACCTGTAGTACATATATATTCATACCTGTGTATTCTTTATTGATTTTTTGCTGGTTTTGCAGGTTAGTTACATGTTTTTTCTCAGCATTCTCTAATTTGTGTCTCTGTGTGCTAAGGTATCAAGGGAGACACAGGTCCTCCTGGTGTACCCGGCAACCCTGGTTTTCCCGGCCCTAAAGGAGACCCAGGCTCACCTGGTGGCCCTGGTGAACAAGGTGCCCCTGGCTTTCCTGGGCCTGCTGGGCTGTCTCTGCCAGGCCCTAAAGGTGCCACAGGACCCCCTGGATTACCTGGAAGAGCAGGTAAGGGACATGGACAGTATTTATCACCACATATAGTACTAGAATTTGCTGCCTGGTTTTCAGATGATTATTGTATTAATAATAACTATACTGTGTAATCAGTGACCACAGAGAGGATTCTTCCGTTCTTACCCATAAACATAATGTTAACTTTGAAAAATCAGCCTCACTGCATTTGACTGCATCACAAGACTTGCAGGAAAATGGCTGTACAACCAATTGCCCCATAGGCATCATGCAGATTACTTGATTCTTTGGATATCTCTGTTGAATAATGCTTCCCTTCAGTATAAAATGTTTGATTTAATGGTAAGACGAAGAAATTACTATGAAATCAATCAACCATCCACAAGTCTTGCCACACCAATGGGCCACTTCCTGTAAATAAAAAGCTGTGGGACAAGTACGTTAAAAGAAGAATGTGTTTCGACTTCTTTATATGGGCTTAAATAACCCAAACACTGATGGATTGCTGGTGAAATGCTACGATGTAGACAAACTAGACAACATGGTTTGGACATACCAGCCTGTGGTTCCCAGTTCAGAACCACTAACCCAATCCTGTAGGGAACCAGAAAACCAGACAGCAAATGGCAGAATCTCCACTTTAAACGTGAACGCTTCCATCTCCTTGATTTGCATGGGAGATTGTTGCACCAATCAAACCACCAGTATGAGAAGCAACACACCTGTCCGATTATTGTCAACACCACCCTCATGAGTAAATGTTAGTGTTCTCCTCCTTCACCTCATCACACACCAATCACTGTTTGCCTCTGGGGTTATGACTACGTCCCAAAAAGTGCATGTGTTTATGCCACATTGTTGTGTCTTCATCATCATCCAAAAATGTTTTTATTCACAAACCAATACGCCCTCATGTCTCCTCACCCCTTGTCCTCTTCTCTTGATCTGGTCATTAGCAAAGCTGTAATCCATTCATCTCTCCACAGCAATGAATCGTGTGCATTTGTGTGTGTTTGTCCTCTAATGTGACCATTGTGATCAGTGTGTGTCTTTGTATGTTTGTGAACCATTCTGAAAAAAAGAGAACTTCAAACAAGTATAGCAGACACAAACCAAAATCTCTGATTCAGTCAAAAATCTGTCATTAAAAATGTTTCGATGACGACAAAAATACTGCTGCTGCAGTAATTCATTTACCCTGTTAGCATAAAGAGCAAAAACTCTTTGATTCTGGATAAGAGCTGCCGTTGGTTTGTTTCTGGCTTTGCTGCCATATTTTGGTTTTGTCTCACCAATCAGCCATCTGCATGGACACTGTTCATCCCGACAAAAGCACACATGCGTGTGTGTGTTTATACACACTGAGAACAAGTCTCATACAGTGCTGGACAGAGTGGACTCTCCTGACAAACCCTTTCAGAAAAACATCCCTGTTTTTAACTATTTCTTCTATTTTTTAAAGATACTTTTTGGTTTAAAAATGATTCTCAAGTTCATGGAAGCGTCTGTAATAACAGGCAACCGAAACAAATTTGTAGCATTGTGATCTTTCTTTATGTAAAAAAAGATAAAAGTAGATGTGCAGGTTTTATTTATACTTATCAGCCGCTTTATTAGGTACACTAATTCAACTAATCAGCCGATGGCGGCAACTCAATGCGTTTAGCATGTAGGCATAGTTGAAAGTTTAAAGTATGCATCAGAATGTGGAAGAAATTTTATTTAAATGACTTTAAATGTGGCATGGTGGTTGGTGCCACACAAGTATTTAAGAAACTGATAAACTTCTGGGGTTTTCCCACACTGCCATCTCCAGGGTTTACAGTTTCTCCTGAAAAAGACAAATATGGTCTACAGCAGTAGAAGACCATACTGGGTGACTTCTGTCACATAAGAACAGGAAAACCGAGGTTACAGTTCAGATAGATTCACCAATATTGGAAAACAGAAGATCAGAAAAACACTGCTTGGCTCTTGACTCTTGATTTCTGCTGCAGACTTCAGGTGGTAGGGTAGATTTGAAAAGTACACAACATGAAACCATGGATTCATCCTGATTTTATCAACAGTTCAGGCAGCTCTGAAGGCTCAAAGGAGTCCAACCCAGTACTAGCAAGGTGTAACTAATAAGCGGCAGTGAGTGTATATTTACTGGAAATCACCCATTATTTAAAAGCCACATCTTTTGAAAGCAATTGTCAGAACCAACTGCTATCCAGCCCTGCATCAGGCTACATGAAAAGGTTTTGGGGGTTGTCAGGGTGACACAATGTTATTACATGTTACTCCTGTTTCCTGTGGTTTGGTCCCACCTGCTTTGGTGTGGCGGGCCATCTTCGCGTGACAACTCGTGCATCTGTGCGCCACAGGCCCTGCAGGTCAGATCAACAGCATCCAGACTTCTCCTGCATGTCTCCTACAGCAGCACTGACCGAGTTTAACGTCTCTCTGATCAGTTTAGGAACAAATTGATGATAAATCACTGCATCTCCTCTGTATTTCCTCCTAACAACTGTCTCTTTTCACTTTCCATGCACTCCGATGGTAGCATAATGCACCTTTTTTTACAAGTAAGCCACTATTAAAGATTTTCTTTTTCTTCAAGTGTGATCGTGATAATCGCAACACAAATCAGCATGTGGATGATCTGGGTCACATGTAGGTGCTGCAGCAAATTCAGAATGTATCAGCACCACAGAATTTAAATACAAGAACACATCATATAACTAACTCACCTTAGTCATTTTCACATTGTGTATGATTATATTTAAGCATTATGTATTGAGTATATATTGTAGTTTAATGGGGTTTTGTTTTTTATCTTTGAAAGATAAGGCTGTTAGGCTATTAGCTATAGTTTTGTTATTGCCTGCAAAACCTGTTAAAAAGCCCAAAACCAATAACTGGTTGAAGACCTCACTGGTTAAAAAACAGGGCATATGGTAATCCTGCTGTCGCTTATCAAAGAGTTACTTAAACAAGGTTAACGGTGCCAGTTAACATTATCTTAGTTTGTTGTTGGTTCTCATGTTAATGATTGACTATAAAAATTATGTCAAATATAAATACATATCAGTGTCATTTGTAAAAGATTAACAGCAACTTATTTAAAAGCAGACAACTAGCATTTACGCTAACATACCACGTCATTGTGCATGAATTAAATCAAGCCGAATAGCCCCCATGGTTTATTCAGTAAAGGAGAAATACCTCTTTCTTTGTCAGGTATGACTGTGTTTCTGTACTGATGCCTACCTCTGTCTAAACCTGCTCTTCTTTGTTGCCCCATTCCTTTATCCCGGCTCCGGTTTGCCTGGCAATTCTGGGAACCCTAGGTCCTCCAGGTTAGACTCCAGTGGTTTGATGGGTTTGATACATGTAACCATATAAACTGAGTTTCATGCTGGGTCGGGGTTAGTTCACATCAATGTCTCTCAGTTCAAAGCATGTAAAAGTGTGAATCCACTTCACTTTTCCTCTGTGCACCACCACAGTGGGTTTTGAATCAGATAATCAATATGTAATCGAAGTGCAGATTTTCAGCTTTAGCTCTATGGGTTTAATTTTTTTATTTATTTATTTTTTTGCAATGACTGCTCAGAAGTCATTTTTATACACAGACCCAAATTTTTCAGAGGCTCAAAAGTAATTGAACAATTGACTGAAAAGCAGTCCCATTGCACGGTGAGGCCTGTTCCCTTCATATATTGTGACAAATTAAGCAGATGAAAGATTTGATTGCAAGGGAATAGGCTGAACAACAATGAACCTTTTAGAGAGACAGGAACGACTTGTAGTAATTTAGAGGGCCAAATCACCACTAGTTCATTCAAAAAGGATGAATGCACTGAACACCACAGAAGACAACTAACTATGATCGCAGAATTCTTTCCATGGTTAAGAAATACAACTTTACAACATTAAGCCAGGTCAAGAATACTAATATAAGAAGATTAGAGTTTGCCAGAAAACATCTAAAAGTGTCTGCACAGCTCTGGGGGGAAAAATCTTGTACCAGCGTATTGGGAAGAGAAAAGTACATAAGAGAGAAAAAACTCTTGATCTGAGACCGGATTATAAGGCGCACTGTTGATTTTTGAGAAAATAAAAGGATTTTTAGTGCCCCTTATAGTGCGGAAAATACAGTAGTTGTGTTGTTGTGCAGAGGCAAGAGTACAAAAATGTGTAATAGTCCAAAAACATTGGGACCGAACTGTATGACAAAACTGTTAATGATCTGAAGATGAATTAACCCCGGCCCTAAGCTCTGGATTTGTGTGACGGTTTATGTTATAAATTGAGTGTTCAGTTCATCCTTTCTTTACCCCACAGGACAGTTCGCCCAGGACTTATAACCATAAAAACCTACACACAGTCAAGTTGCAAGTTTACTGTTTTTCGGGATTGTTTTTACCTGAAGATCTTCTTAAAATGTTTCTCTACCATGATTTTTAGTTACCAGTAACATACATGTGTGTTTATCCTGTTCTGTCAAATGAGGCAATCATAGTAACCAGTAATCAGTCTCAGGGTTCACCATTACTACACCTGTAACACACAGTCTGAAAATAAAACTCTTCAGTTTGGTGTTTGCAAGGTTTCCCCAAGGATTTAAAGAAAGAACCACGCAAATACTTTCTCACATTTTTCACACTTACATGTTTCAAAGATAATAATAAAGCTCGCCTCTGTCAGTGCGCCCCAGGGTGGCTGTGGCTACAACGTAGCTGCCATCACCCGTGCAAATGGTAAATTTACCATTTACCATTATCTTAATAAACACAAAATGCAGTTTTTAAATAATGATTTAATTTTCCAAACATTTCAATCAAGAACTGCAATCAAGTATTTGTGATGTCTGCCAGTGACTCTTTCACATCACTGTGGAGGAACTTTGGCCCACTCTTCTTTGGAGTAAAGTTTTAATTCAGCTACATTGGAGAGTTTACAAAATTTGAACAGCTTATTTGACTTCATGCCAAAGCATCTCAATCTGACTGAAGTCCATCAAGATGTTTTTTTGTAAATGTGTGAGCCTTTTGTTCTTCTTGGTCAGTGGTCTTTTCCTTGAACTCCCTCATGGATGCTATTTTTGCCCAGTTGTTGAATCATGAACTCTGACCTGTGAGGCCTGCAGTTCTTTAGATGTTGTTTGGGTTCTTTTGTGACGCCCTGGATGAGTCATTGATGCGCTCTTGGATTAATTTTGATAGGTCGACCACCCCTGGGAAGACCCAAAGCCTTTGAAAGGCCTTTGTAAACCTTTCCAGACTGATTTAAGTAATTTCAGCAGCCTAGGTGTGACTAGTGACATTGAACGAATCTTTACAAACTGCATTTTGTATTTATTCAGATTATCTTTGTCTGATATTACAATTTGATGTGTCAAAAAACGTAGAAATCAGGAAGGGGGCAAAGAATTTTTCACATCAGAATAAGACCCATAAGAAAGCAAAAAAGTAAATCAGCCAAAAATGTTTTGTTTAATTGCTTAATTAAAATCCAAATGTGATCAAAACCCTGGTGGGGGAAAAAAAACACTTAATCAACAATGTTGTGTTGTTTTTATGTTATCACATCTGACCTTTCATTCTCTGCGTGTGAAGGTTCACCCGGCCTACAAGGTCCTCGTGGACTCCCAGGAACTGGTGGCGTTAAGGGAGAAAAGGGTACTCTTGGCATGCCTGGAATTCCTGGCATCCCCGGACAGAAGGGAGATCCTGGTTTTCCAGGAAATCCGGTAACACCCTGTTTTACTTTTACTTCATTATCTTCTCCAAAAGAATGCACATCTGTATTTCTTTGTCCTTCATTAGCTGAGCTCACAATATCTCTACAACCCTTTCTTCTCAGGGCATACCTGGTCCTACTGGCCCCGCTGGAATAAAGGGAGATTCAGGACAGCCTGGTGTTCCTGGATTCCCTGGTTTGTTCACAATAACATTATTTGTGCTTCTTTTTTTTTTAAACAAAAACATATTTTAGTCTTCAGCATTTATTGTGAACAGAGCCTAAAGATTTGTTTTTATCAGGATTGAAGGGTGATCTTGGATATCCTGGCCCCAGTGGCCCTCCTGGAGATCGTGGATTACCTGGAGAACGGGGTAGGTCAACATGTTATCCTTTTCTTCTAGAGTGAAGAGACGTGAGACTACCTTCAAAAGAAAAATCTGTGCTGCTGCTTTATTTTGTCTCCCTCCGCCTCACCCCCAGACTAGTGCGCTAACAGGAGAATTTTCTCGTGTTAATAGGCACTCCGGGTGATCCCGGTGAAGGTTCGCCTCCCATTGTGCTAAAGGGAGAACGGGGACCCCCAGGTCTTCAGGGCCTACCTGGTTCTCCAGGACCACCTGGTTTGCCTGGCCAACCGGGAGGCTCAGGTAAGTAAATATAGTTTCTATGATGGGAACTGATAAAAATAACATAAAAGACACAGGATCAGGATCAAATGATTATGCTGCTCTTCTCAAAGGGGAAGCACTTCCTACAAAGCTATCTATACTGTACTTTTACAGATATTTATAGTTTTGAGAAAAGAGGTTTTCAATTTTTGCATTTAATACATATTAAATAGGGATTTTGTATTTCCATAAATACTGACAATATGATTTCTCGGAGTAAATTTTGGCCACATCTGTGATCCTAAAATAAGGTTTTGTACTATTATTACTTCTGATAGCGAGGCCGAATATTTTGAACATTTTCCATAATGCTAGGGGACAGATTACACAGTGAATTTTAAAAGTAAAAGCAATACTTTGTAAGTCACACATTTTGTCATGAATTATCTTTGACTCAGAAAGTATACAACCCTTTTCACAGGCTCTTCTCACACAAGTGCTGTACAATATAGAAACCATGACAATTTTATATGCGGGCTAATATAATGTGAACGTGATGAGTAAAATGATCTGAGGTGGAAAAAACTGATGGAGTCATTGCCTCTCCTGCCTCCTGGTCTCAGGCATCAAAGGTGACCCTGGTGGACCTGGGAGCGATGGTCCTCCTGGCTTCAACGGACCTGCCGGCAGGAAGGGAGACGTTGGTCCGGCAGGTCAGCCTGGTAAGTAAGGCAGAGAGTCTCATCACTGACCTACTCTATATGTTATCCCTGGTTAAACAAAGAGTAAACGTTATTAGTAGTGTACGTACTGTCATGGCCAAAAGTTTTATTTATTTGCTAATCAAAGATTTACTGGATATAAAAGGATATACTGGACAAAGGATGAATATGGAGGTTGAAGAAAAAGAGGAGGGCCACAGAGAAGCTTCATGGATGTAGGGAAGAAGAATACACAGAGGGTTGTTGTGACAAAGGACGGTCCAAGAGATAGGCTGGAATAGGAGGCAAATGATCAGCTGTGGTGACTCCTAAAGGGAGCAGCTGGAAAAGAAGAAGTTTAACCTATTAGGACCCAGGGTTCTTTGTGATGTTCCTGCTTGAAAATGACAAAAGTCTACGTATCAAAATAAAGCGAACAAGCTAATAAGGAAATTCGGATGGAACAAAAATACAAAGGATTTTATCCGGCCTATTTTGTTCTCTATTACGCCTTTGAAAATATGCTGCAGTAGACCAGAAACTCAAGAAAACCAAGAATCAACATATGGATGTTATCTGTGGAAAGATAAAGCTGCTAGAGTTCACAATTGTACACAGTAGTGAACTTGCATGTAATGTGTTTGTGCATAAATAAGCTAATAAGGTGGAACATGGTTATTTTTGATGGGAAAATTCTCTCAAAGCACACTTGGAAATGGAGTTATTGAGGAAATGTGCTGTTATCACGATGGATTTAAGTTTTGTAAGAGATTAAAGGTTAGACAGAATTCATGGTAATGTTTTTCAAACATTAATGTAATTTTGTTCTTCTTTTGCTGTTGGTTTAGTGACGTTTGGTTGGAACATGATGAGAGTTTGCAGTGCTGGTATCTGAGAGATGTCTGTTTTCAGCAGAGACATTGTTTGTCCATGTACATGCTGTCAGGTGAACGGGGGCATCTCTGCTTTTTGTTTACACCTTTTTGTTTAGCTGCTCTTTTAATTGTTTGTTGTTTTTGCTTTGGAAGTCATAGGAATGGTTATGTGAGCTTTTAGCTGAGATTTTGATGTTTCTGTGGATACTGGTACTGTTGCTGCCCTGAGGCTTCTCATTGCTAATACAGACATTCCCCTTATTACAGGTCAGCCTGGCAACCCTGGTCCCCGTGGTTCAGATGGCCCACAAGGTCCTCCCGGTGTCCCAGGATCAGTTTCTGCTGCTCACGGTTTCCTCATCACCCGGCACAGCCAGACCACCGATGACCCAGAGTGCCCCACTGGAACTAAGTTTATCTATAACGGATACTCTCTGTTGTACGTGCAGGGCAACGAGCGGGCACACGGACAGGACCTTGGTAGGCTTTACCTAGAAGTTGCATTGTATCAGACAGCTGTCAGAAAGCAGTTCATATAACTGACCGTCTTCTTTCAGGCACAGCCGGTAGCTGCCTGCGCAGATTTAGCACCATGCCCTTCATGTTCTGCAATATCAACAACGTCTGCAACTTCGCATCCCGTAACGACTACTCCTACTGGCTGTCAACGGACAGACCCATGCCCGAAAACATGGCCCCCTTCGTGGGAGAGAATATCAGGCCTCATGTCAGCAGGTATGACGGGAGGAGGGAAGGGCAGTACTGTCGAATTCAGGGAAGTGTGTAAATCTTGTGTTTTCCTATGTTTGTGCATCCAGATGTAGAGTCTGTGAAGCTCCCGCCATGGTGATTGCAATTCACAGTCAGACTATCCAGATTCCTTCTTGCCCTGAAAACTGGGAAGTACTGTGGATTGGATACTCCTTTATGATGGTAGGAAATAACACACGCAAAAAAACAAACACACACTCAGACACTTCCATCCCCACCTTGGCTAAAATCTCACACTGGCTCGTAATTCATTTACCCTGTTAGCATAAAGAGCAAAAACTCTTTGATTCTGGATAAGAGCTGTCGTTGGTTTGTTTCTGGCTTTGCTGCCATATTTTGGTTTTGTCTCACCAATCAGCCATCTGCATGGACACTGTTCATCCCGACAAAAGCACACATGCGTGTGTGTGTTTATACACACTGAGAACAAGTCTCATACAGTGCTGGACAGAGTGGACTCTCCTGACAAACCCTTTCAGAAAAACATCCCTGTTTTTAACTATTTCTTCTATTTTTTAAAGATACTTTTTGGTTTAAAAATGATTCTCAAGTTCATGGAAGCGTCTGTAATAACAGGCAACCGAAACAAATTTGTAGCATTGTGATCTTTCTTTATGTAAAAAAAGATAAAAGTAGATGTGCAGGTTTTATTTATACTTATCAGCCGCTTTATTAGGTACACTAATTCAACTAATCAGCCGATGGCGGCAACTCAATGCGTTTAGCATGTAGGCATAGTTGAAAGTTTAAAGTATGCATCAGAATGTGGAAGAAATTTAATTTAAATGACTTTAAATGTGGCATGGTGGTTGGTGCCACACAAGTATTTAAGAAACTGATAAACTTCTGGGGTTTTCCCACACTGCCATCTCCAGGGTTTACAGTTTCTCCTGAAAAAGACAAATATGGTCTACAGCAGTAGAAGACCATACTGGGTGACTTCTGTCACATAAGAACAGGAAAACCGAGGTTACAGTTCAGATAGATTCACCAATATTGGAAAACAGAAGATCAGAAAAACACTGCTTGGCTCTTGACTCTTGATTTCTGCTGCAGACTTCAGGTGGTAGGGTAGATTTGAAAAGTACACAACATGAAACCATGGATTCATCCTGATTTTATCAACAGTTCAGGCAGCTCTGAAGGCTCAAAGGGGGGTCCAACCCAGTACTAGCAAGGTGTAACTAATAAGCGGCAGTGAGTGTATATTTACTGGAAATCACCCATTATTTAAAAGCCACATCTTTTGAAAGCAATTGTCAGAACCAACTGCTATCCAGCCCTGCATCAGGCTACATGAAAAGGTTTTGGGGGTTGTCAGGGTGACACAATGTTATTACATGTTACTCCTGTTTCCTGTGGTTTGGTCCCACCTGCTTTGGTGTGGCGGGCCATCTTCGCGTGACAACTCGTGCATCTGTGCGCCACAGGCCCTGCAGGTCAGATCAACAGCATCCAGACTTCTCCTGCATGTCTCCTACAGCAGCACTGACCGAGTTTAACGTCTCTCTGATCAGTTTAGGAACAAATTGATGATAAATCACTGCATCTCCTCTGTATTTCCTCCTAACAACTGTCTCTTTTCACTTTCCATGCACTCTGATGGTAGCATAATGCACTTTTTTTTACAAGTAAGCCACTATTAAAGATTTTCTTTTTCTTCAAGTGTGATCGTGATAATCGCAACACAAATCAGCATGTGGATGATCTGGGTCACATGTAGGTGCTGCAGCAAATTCAGAATGTATCAGCACCACAGAATTTAAATACAAGAACACATCATATAACTAACTCACCTTAGTCATTTTCACATTGTGTATGATTATATTTAAGCATTATGTATTGAGTATATATTGTAGTTTAATGGGGTTTTGTTTTTTATCTTTGAAAGATAAGGCTGTTAGGCTATTAGCTATAGTTTTGTTATTGCCTGCAAAACCTGTTAAAAAGCCCAAAACCAATAACTGGTTGAAGACCTCACTGGTTAAAAAACAGGGCATATGGTAATCCTGCTGTCGCTTATCAAAGAGTTACTTAAACAAGGTTAACGGTGCCAGTTAACATTATCTTAGTTTGTTGTTGGTTCTCATGTTAATGATTGACTATAAAAATTATGTCAAATATGAATACATATCAGTGTCATTTGTAAAAGATTAACAGCAACTTATTTAAAAGCAGACAACTAGCATTTACGCTAACATACTCGTCATTGTGCATGAATTAAATCAAGCCGAATTCAGTTTATTCAGTAAAGGAGAAATACCTCTTTCTTTGTCAGGTATGACTGTGTTTCTGTACTGATGCCTACCTCTGTCTAAACCTGCTCTTCTTCTTTGTTGCCCCATTCCTTTATCCCGGCTCCGGTTTGCCTGGCAATTCTGGGAACCCTAGGTCCTCCAGGTTAGACTCCAGTGGTTTGATGGGTTTGATACATGTAACCATATAAACTGAGTTTCATGCTGGGTCGGGGTTAGGTCACATCAATTTCTCTCAGTTGTATGTAAAAGTGTGAATCCACTTCACTTTTCCTCTGTGCACCACCACAGTGGGTTTTGAATCAGATAATCAATATGTAATCGAAGTGCAGATTTTCAGCTTTAGCTCTATGGGTTTAATTTTTTTTTTTTGCAATGACTGCTCAGAAGTCATTTTTATACACAGACCCAAATTTTTCAGAGGCTCAAAAGTAATTGAACAATTGACTGAAAAGCAGTCCCATTGCACGGTGAGGCCTGTTCCCTTCATATATTGTGACAAATTAAGCAGATGAAAGATTTGATTGCAAGGGAATAGGCTGAACAACAATGAACCTTTTAGAGAGACAGGAACGACTTGTAGTAATTTAGAGGGCCAAATCACCACTAGTTCATTCAAAAAGGATGAATGCACTGAACACCACAGAAGACAACTAACTATGATCGCAGAATTCTTTCCATGGTTAAGAAATACAACTTTACAACATTAAGCCAGGTCAAGAATACTAATATAAGAAGATTAGAGTTTGCCAGAAAACATCTAAAAGTGTCTGCACAGCTCTGGGGGGAAAAATCTTGTACCAGCGTATTGGGAAGAGAAAAGTACATAAGAGAGAAAAAACTCTTGATCTGAGACCGGATTATAAGGCGCACTGTTGATTTTTGAGAAAATAAAAGGATTTTTAGTGCCCCTTATAGTGCGGAAAATACAGTAGTTGTGTTGTTGTGCAGAGGCAAGAGTACAAAAATGTGTAATAGTCCAAAAACATTGGGACCGAACTGTATGACAAAACTGTTAATGATCTGAAGATGAATTAACCCCGGCCCTAAGCTCTGGATTTGTGTGACGGTTTATGTTATAAATTGAGTGTTCAGTTCATCCTTTCTTTACCCCACAGGACAGTTCGCCCAGGACTTATAACCATAAAAACCTACACACAGTCAAGTTGCAAGTTTACTGTTTTTCGGGATTGTTTTTACCTGAAGATCTTCTTAAAATGTTTCTCTACCATGATTTTTAGTTACCAGTAACATACATGTGTGTTTATCCTGTTCTGTCAAATGAGGCAATCATAGTAACCAGTAATCAGTCTCAGGGTTCACCATTACTACACCTGTAACACACAGTCTGAAAATAAAACTCTTCAGTTTGGTGTTTGCAAGGTTTCCCCAAGGATTTAAAGAAAGAACCACGCAAATACTTTCTCACATTTTTCACACTTACATGTTTCAAAGATAATAATAAAGCTCGCCTCTGTCAGTGCGCCCCAGGGTGGCTGTGGCTACAACGTAGCTGCCATCACCCGTGCAAATGGTAAATTTACCATTTACCATTATCTTAATAAACACAAAATGCAGTTTTTAAATAATGATTTAATTTTCCAAACATTTCAATCAAGAACTGCAATCAAGTATTTGTGATGTCTGCCAGTGACTCTTTCACATCACTGTGGAGGAACTTTGGCCCACTCTTCTTTGGAGTAAAGTTTTAATTCAGCTACATTGGAGAGTTTACAAAATTTGAACAGCTTATTTGACTTCATGCCAAAGCATCTCAATCTGACTGAAGTCCATCAAGATGTTTTTTTGTAAATGTGTGAGCCTTTTGTTCTTCTTGGTCAGTGGTCTTTTCCTTGAACTCCCTCATGGATGCTATTTTTGCCCAGTTGTTGAATCATGAACTCTGACCTGTGAGGCCTGCAGTTCTTTAGATGTTGTTTGGGTTCTTTTGTGACGCCCTGGATGAGTCATTGATGCGCTCTTGGATTAATTTTGATAGGTCGACCACCCCTGGGAAGTCCCAAAGCCTTTGAAAGGCCTTTGTAAACCTTTCCGACTGATTTAAGTAATTTCAGCAGCCTAGGTGTGACTAGTGACATTGAACGAATCTTTACAAACTGCATTTTGTATTTATTCAGATTATCTTTGTCTGATATTACAATTTGATGTGTCAAAAAACGTAGAAATCAGGAAGGGGGCAAAGAATTTTTCACATCAGAATAAGACCCATAAGAAAGCATAAAAGTAAATCAGCCAAAAATGTTTTGTTTAATTGCTTAATTAAAATCCAAATGTGATCAAAACCCTGGTGAGGGAAAAAAAACACTTAATCAACAATGTTGTGTTGTTTTTATGTTATCACATCTGACCTTTCATTCTCTGCGTGTGAAGGTTCACCCGGCCTACAAGGTCCTCGTGGACTCCCAGGAACTGGTGGCGTTAAGGGAGAAAAGGGTACTCTTGGCATGCCTGGAATTCCTGGCATCCCCGGACAGAAGGGAGATCCTGGTTTTCCAGGAAATCCGGTAACACCCTGTTTTACTTTTACTTCATTATCTTCTCCAAAAGAATGCACATCTGTATTTCTTTGTCCTTCATTAGCTGAGCTCACAATATCTCTACAACCCTTTCTTCTCAGGGCATACCTGGTCCTACTGGCCCCGCTGGAATAAAGGGAGATTCAGGACAGCCTGGTGTTCCTGGATTCCCTGGTTTGTTCACAATAACATTATTTGTGCTTCTTTTTTTTTTAAACAAAAACATATTTTAGTCTTCAGCATTTATTGTGAACAGAGCCTAAAGATTTGTTTTTATCAGGATTGAAGGGTGATCTTGGATATCATGGCCCAAGTGGCCCTCCTGGAGATCGTGGATTACCTGGAGAACGGGGTAGGTCAACATGTTATCCTTTTCTTCTAGAGTGAAGAGACGTGAGACTACCTTCAAAAGAAAAATCTGTGCTGCTGCTTTATTTTGTCTCCCTCCGCCTCACCCCCAGACTAGTGCGCTAACAGGAGAATTTTCTCGTGTTAATAGGCACTCCGGGTGATCCCGGTGAAGGTTCGCCTCCCATTGTGCTAAAGGGAGAACGGGGACCCCCAGGTCTTCAGGGCCTACCTGGTTCTCCAGGACCACCTGGTTTGCCTGGCCAACCGGGAGGCTCAGGTAAGTAAATATAGTTTCTATGATGGGAACTGATAAAAATAACATAAAAGACACAGGATCAGGATCAAATGATTATGCTGCTCTTCTCAAAGGGGAAGCACTTCCTACAAAGCTATCTATACTGTACTTTTACAGATATTTATAGTTTTGAGAAAAGAGGTTTTCAATTTTTGCATTTAATACATATTAAATAGGGATTTTGTATTTCCATAAATACTGACAATATGATTTCTCGGAGTAAATTTTGGCCACATCTGTGATCCTAAAATAAGGTTTTGTACTATTATTACTTCTGATAGCGAGGCCGAATATTTTGAACATTTTCCATAATGCTAGGGGACAGATTACACAGTGAATTTTAAAAGTAAAAGCAATACTTTGTAAGTCACACATTTTGTCATGAATTATCTTTGACTCAGAAAGTATACAACCCTTTTCACAGGCTCTTCTCACACAAGTGCTGTACAATATAGAAACCATGACAATTTTATATGCGGGCTAATATAATGTGAACGTGATGAGTAAAATGATCTGAGGTGGAAAAAACTGATGGAGTCATTGCCTCTCCTGCCTCCTGGTCTCAGGCATCAAAGGTGACCCTGGTGGACCTGGGAGCGATGGTCCTCCTGGCTTCAACGGACCTGCCGGCAGGAAGGGAGACGTTGGTCCGGCAGGTCAGCCTGGTAAGTAAGGCAGAGAGTCTCATCACTGACCTACTCTATATGTTATCCCTGGTTAAACAAAGAGTAAACGTTATTAGTAGTGTACGTACTGTCATGGCCAAAAGTTTTATTTATTTGCTAATCAAAGATTTACTGGATATAAAAGGATATACTGGACAAAGGATGAATATGGAGGTTGAAGAAAAAGAGGAGGGCCACAGAGAAGCTTCATGGATGTAGGGAAGAAGAATACACAGAGGGTTGTTGTGACAAAGGACGGTCCAAGAGATAGGCTGGAATAGGAGGCAAATGATCAGCTGTGGTGACTCCTAAAGGGAGCAGCTGGAAAAGAAGAAGTTTAACCTATTAGGACCCAGGGTTCTTTGTGATGTTCCTGCTTGAAAATGACAAAAGTCTACGTATCAAAATAAAGCGAACAAGCTAATAAGGAAATTCGGATGGAACAAAAATACAAAGGATTTTATCCGGCCTATTTTGTTCTCTATTACGCCTTTGAAAATATGCTGCAGTAGACCAGAAATTCAAGAAAACCATGAATCAACATATGGATGTTATCTGTGGAAAGATAAAACTGCTGGAGTTCACAATTGTACACAGTAGTGGACTTGCATGTAATGTGTTTGTGCATAAATAAGCTAATAAGGTGGAACGTGGTTATTTTTTGATGGGAAACTTCTCTCAAAGCACACTTGGAAATGGAGTTATTGAGGAAATGTGCTGTTATCACGATGGATTTAAGTTTTGTAAGAGATTAAAGGTTAGGCAGAATTCATGGTAATGTTTTTTAAACATTAATGTAATTTTGTTCTTCTTTTGCTGTTGGTTTAGTGACGTTTGGTTGGAACATGATGAGAGTTTGCAGTGTTGGTATCTGAGAGATGTCTGTTTTCAGCAGAGACATTGTTTGTCCATGTACATGCTGTCAGGTGAACGGGGGCATCTCTGCTTTTTGTTTACACCTTTTTGTTTAGCTGCTCTTTTAATTGTTTGTTGTTTTTGCTTTGGAAGTCATAGGAATGGTTATGTGAGCTTTTAGCTGAGATTTTGATGTTTCTGTGGATACTGGTACTGTTGCTGCCCTGAGGCTTCTCATTGCTAATACAGACATTCCCCTTATTACAGGTCAGCCTGGCAACCCTGGTCCCCGTGGTTCAGATGGCCCACAAGGTCCTCCCGGTGTCCCAGGATCAGTTTCTGCTGCTCACGGTTTCCTCATCACCCGGCACAGCCAGACCACCGATGACCCAGAGTGCCCCACTGGAACTAAGTTTATCTATAACGGATACTCTCTGTTGTACGTTCAGGGCAACGAGCGGGCACACGGACAGGACCTTGGTAGGCTTTACCTAGAAGTTGCATTGTATCAGACAGCTGTCAGAAAGCAGTTCATATAACTGACCGTCTTCTTTCAGGCACAGCCGGTAGCTGCCTGCGCAGATTTAGCACCATGCCCTTCATGTTCTGCAATATCAACAACGTCTGCAACTTCGCATCCCGTAACGACTACTCCTACTGGCTGTCAACGGACAGACCCATGCCCGAAAACATGGCCCCCTTCGTGGGAGAGAATATCAGGCCTCATGTCAGCAGGTATGACGGGAGGAGGGAAGGGCAGTACTGTTGAATTCAGGGAAGTGTGTAAATCTTGTGTTTTCCTATGTTTGTGCATCCAGATGTAGAGTCTGTGAAGCTCCCGCCATGGTGATTGCAATTCACAGTCAGACTATCCAGATTCCTTCTTGCCCTGAAAACTGGGAAGTACTGTGGATTGGATACTCCTTTATGATGGTAGGAAATAACACACGCAAAAAAACAAACACACACTCAGACACTTCCATCCCCACCTTGGCTAAAATCTCACACTGGCTGGATCTCCCAGCAGCACCTTGCCATGATAGGACAACCTTTAGTAAGTGAAAAACGTCTATTCAAATTCTAGGCAACAGCTGCAGTCTGGTAGCAACCCAAACAATTGCATGCAAGTTTATAGTGCAGCACTGTGCACCTCTTTGAGACCAAGCAAGCAATACACATTCCTCCATAGCAACCAGTGGTTGCCAGGAGGTCACTAGGCCTGTGGGACTAAAATCTGTCGACTGCTATGATTTGGGTTGGTGGTAGACACCTCTCTGCAACTACACCAGCACAGCACATGTGACCAGCACCCCCCATCTTCTGCCTTTTTCCCCTTTCAGAAGGAGTTCATAAATAAAGAAAACTAAAAAAACAAATTCTCTACAATTCTAATTCTTCTTTCTCTCCCCACAGCACACCAGTGCGGGTGCAGAGGGCTCCGGTCAGGCGCTCGCCTCCCCCGGCTCCTGCCTGGAGGAGTTCCGCAGCTCCCCTTTCATCGAGTGCCACGGCAGAGGGACATGTAACTTCTATGCCAACTCCTACAGCTTCTGGCTGGCCACCGTGGAAACTTCTGAGATGTTCAGGTGTGGATTCATGTGCAAACGTCTGTGAAAGGGGAAAGTTTATTGATGAGAAATACTAAATATATCCATGGTTTTATGT